GCTCTACACCGTGCAGGAACTCCTCATGGGAGTGAATCAATTCTTTCCAGCGTGAGTCGTGCTTTCTGGGCTAATACCGAATCTGCCGTAGAGGGAACACATAGGCTATCGCCTCATTACCTTCTTCGCGCGCCCTCAGCCTACTCTCAGAGAGAGAGCTAACAAAGTCTTTAAACCCTCCTCGCTAAAGTAGACCTCCCGGTAGGGAAGACCCAGAGGTCCACCCAAGGTTATTGATAGTCTTGGGGATAAAGCCAAAGATCCTCGCCAGACAGGCTTCCCGGCGGGCATGGGGCGCTCCGCCATTACAAAGGGATAGAGTGAGTAGTAGTATAGGTCCTTACCTATTGGTATGTAGGCATCCACATGACCACCGCCTTATAAACCTCTCTTCATTCGTGTTGGGGCTTTAGCGGGATCGTGGAACTTCATACGAAAGAGGTACATTGCCAATGAGGAAATGGTCATTTTCTTTACTATGTCAACCTCCCAAAACCCTTTCCGCCAAGGAGAAGGACGTCCTTCTTCAGATAGTCCTCTCTCATACTGCTAAGATTCTCGAGAGTCACTCTCTCATGATCAATAGACCCAGTTCGGGGCATAGACTAAACCCAGGAGTCTCTGAAGCGGAATAAGAGCCTCCCCCGCTCGGAATAGAGGCTTAGCTCGTAAAGCCTATTCCCTCTCGACAGCGTCAATCAAACCAAAAAGACTACTCCCTACCAGGGTCAAATGTCCTTACATACGATATTACTTCTTACGTACTTTATTTTTATTTACTGACTTTATTACTTATGCAATTATGCAATTCTTGTTGGTCAACTGTCTCTTGATTTTCAATTCGCTGACCGCTGCCCCTTATCGCTGATGTGTGGTCTATTGCCTAAGAATGCCTAACCCAGCTTATCGAGGGAAGCTAGTAAGTCCCATACCATAGGTCTCATCATATAAAAAAAGGATTTGCCCAGTAGTGCTCAACAAGTAAATAAGAAGGTAGTCGAGGATCTTACGCTTCATGATGGAGCTCTGCTCTAGAGTAAGGGGGAAAGACTAAAGTACAGTTTAGCAATCAAAAGAACATTGGAACTAGCTGCCATTTCGCTAGATACCAGAAAGAAAGTTCTATCCAGTTGTTGGGGCTCCTCTCTCTGATGCAACAGAATATCGTAGTATTCGCTAAAGCGAGGAAGGGGTGCGTCATCATTTAGTTAGCAACGGAATTTACCTAAATACGCAGGTCTAAATAAAACACTAAAGGCTTATGCCTTCACGACGTAAGGAGCAAAAACAAAATACCCTTTCCATCGATAGAGACATCGCCCGACCAAAGACAATGTCCCAAAACGATCTAGTCAGCCTGCAGGCAACTGCTATAGATGACGCGCCTACCATGACCAGTTCAAGAGGAAGGTCACAGTAAGGGGAGAGAACACCCGGACTGTCTACTCTTAACACACACCGAGGGAAGGCATTTCAGATATTCCTATTTCATAACCGATTCGTGGAAACGAAGCGTGGAGAATCAAGTTAAAGCGAGCTAAGAGATATCTGTGCTCCACAGCTACACCCGGGAGATCTATGTCGTCCAACCCGACCTCAGACTCTTTCTTCCCGACCTAGTTTCCAAGCGCCCATCCGCTCTGTCTAAAATAAGGTGAGAGTCGCGGATGGCCCGAATTACACGCTGATAAGGAATGCTTTGGCGAGTTCCCTTATCTGACTGACGTAGGACCCGTAGGTGCGCTCCGTCATAAGTTCCCCCTGCGGAGAAGAATCGGTGAAGGAGGCTGAATCCATCATTCACCTGGTTCCTGAGAATGGACACCATACGTTCGAGCCCGTCATCCCTCCCGAAATTAAAGCAGCCGTATCGCGCATAAAGGGCCTGGCCTCGCATCTTGTTCCAATTCAGGAATCACCGGTGGGGCCGCCTCAGGAGCTTGTACAGCTGCCCCAGGTAGGTCTTCACTTCCCGCTGCATCACAATGAGCTATAGTAAGTAAGCCCCAAATTGTTAGTAATCCACTAGGAACAGCTTCTACGACGATAGATAGGTACGTAGTCGCTTAGTTTCACATAGTTACAAGTTGAACTATGTGAAACTAAGGGACTCCCTTTGGTCGTACCTCTCCGAATGAGTTGAACAACAGATTCGTTTAACATAGTTCAACTCATTCTGTCTATTTACCTAAACTCCAAGCAGTAGTTATACCGGGCAAGCTTTGTATTCCAGTCTAAGGGATGCTTATCGGATAGGACAAAGGATCTAACAATCGGGCTTCCTAGAAATGAGGCTTATCCTTAGCGCGAGGTTTCATTCAATGGTAGGCCTACTCAAGTGAATGGGGGTTCAGTCCAAGAGGCTAGTCTGGACTCGCTGTGTCATTCTAAAAGATGCGAAATAGCTTTTTAGCAGCTATAACAAACGTACCCAAAATGGTAAGTCCCTGTCTCTGGCGGATTGCCCAGGGAAGTCAGAAAGCATTAAGGTAAAAAACAAAGGGTGATGCTCATATCACCACATGGTTTTATTTATCTTAGTAGCGGGAAGCGGTTCTATTGCTTCCTTCGTTAGGATAGGTGGGATTGGCTGAACACCTGGCGCCGCCAGGAAGGTTGCCGAGAGTTCGAGACCACGCGTGTCAGACAGTTTCGTACGGAAGATTCTGCCAGCTGATCTTCTAACAAACTATGACACGTCAGCATAACGAACCTGCTATGCCTATAAATAGCTGGCCCCAGGACAGAAATGATTTCATCTTTGGGATTCCCCAGGTTCTCTCTCGGCTTCACTCCCCCTCTCCCGTAGGTCGAGTGACTCCCCTCTTCGAGCGACTACGTACGTTGGTCGTACGTAGGTCGAATGAGTTTCACATAGTGAAACGAATTCTCTAGTGACTTCGTACCTCCTATTAGGGACATCTTTGTGAATTTAACTCACGAGATGGCCTCATTTATGTTTCATTTAAACAAAACCCTGATCCCTCTATTCTATGGGCCGAGTGTCCATTCGATCCCAGGAATACGGATTGGTTTGAGCGACGGAAACCTATCAAGGTATCCCATTAGTTACAGGTAGGTTAGCGCAGACACTCTCAGGGGCTGGGAAGTGGAGAATCTTTGCTATATTTGCTATATGTAACTATATCAAGCAAAGACTTATTGCTCCCGTCAATGAATACAATAGAGATGGATGGTACGTATGACCAGGAGCGGCCCATTCTTAGGTTAGTATAATAATACTTATTGTTATGTTGTTATGATGCGACCGACAGATGGTTATCTATCATTTTATCATTTTTATTCGGGACAACATATGGTCAACTATCCGTTGACTAAGAAGATTCATGAGATTTCATTCTTGGCAGGTCAACCTTTAGGTTACCTCGGCTCCTGGTCATTTCTCACCACTTTGTCGCAGCACAAATGAAATGGTCAAGGACTATGCCATATTAGGTGATGATGTTCTTATCACTGATGATGGGGATGCTTCTTGATAAGCTTGGTGTGTCTATCTCTGATAGTAAATCTATTATTATATCAAATGGCGTACGGAGCTGCTTACCCTCTTTGGATCGACAGCGGGGGGGAAACTGGCTCTGGCTTTGTTGTAATGAGCATTTTTTCTACAATTGCCTCTACGGATACCATCTAGGGTGCAGCATTCGGGCTGCTTCGCCTAGCAGCACGTTTTCACGGTTTTCGCTCGCCGCTACTACGGGAATCGCTTTTCCTCTCCCTCTCCCGTAGGTCGAATGAGTTTCACATAGTGAAACGAATTCTCTAGGGACTTCGTTCCTCTAGATCTTTCAGTTCGCCAGGTCCTGCCCATGGATTCCCTATTCGGGAATCTCCGGATCTATGCTTCAGATACCCGTTTTGGTCTCCTTTGGAGGTCTGACGACTTGGTCGCGTTGAAGGGTATAGATTTCAAAGTGCTGAATCATAGCTATAAATTACATTATTTCTCATTCACTCGGACTCTTAGAAAAGAAATAGAAAAGAAAGATCACTCCAAACGAACGGAACGATTCGTTGAACATAGTTCAACTCATTTCGTACCTTATTTTTTTCTGATTTTTTAGCAAAAACCTGTTGATAAACGACCGGTCGACTCACGGAGTTGGCACTCCAGGAGTCCCCTTTGACTGATTCGTGATTCCGTACAACGGGACGGCGGGTCCAACTGACCATCTTCTCCACTACAGGAATATCATGGATCAGAAGACTATCTGATGTGCCGTGTCTCCCAGCCAGCCTACGCGGAAATCTTCCTAGCTGTAACCGGAGGCAGATCAAGGATCTTGGATCTTGACTACCTCTTAAACCTGAAGAAGAGCGTCACAGAATCCATTCGGGATTCCACTAAGCGATTCTTAGCTTCAGCCCTTCGGGTTGACAACTGCAACGAGCAGCCAGCAGTGGTAGCCTACAAGAAAGGGCTACCCGTAGAGTCCAAGCTCTACCAGTCTCTGGTCAAGAATCGACCAGAGACCCTTTAAGGCCCTCCCCAACAGCTGTCCCAATGAATATGCATCTTTGACTAAACGGTTAATAGAAATATTCTTAATGAACCTTTAGTGGGATGGGGCAAAGCCCTGGGATAAGTCGAGTCATTCCCCATCCATGAGCTGCAAGATCAATTGTCCAGTACGGGTTACTCCAGCCGGTTATTCATACTAGTAATGGAACTCTAGTGCCCTATATACTTTGACACATACATCTATACATCTCTGTCTGAACGAGCAATTTCGATGCTTCTTCTGGCCCAACCTTTAGGTTTAGGTACGAAGTCACTAATATAGTAATATAGCTAGCTATATTAGGAAGAGATCCCATTCGTAGGAATCTCCACTCGAGAAAGACCATTCACCGAAGCAGAAGCCACTGGATCTGGGGTAATTTGTCAGCTTGCCTTTACATGGAAAAACCCCATTCCTTAGCTGAGGGTTTGGTTCCTCTTCGAGGTACGACCAACGGGAGTCGCTAGAGAATTCGTACCTCTCCCATAGGTCGAATGAGTTTCACATAGTGAAACGAATTCTCTAGTGACTTCGTACCTCTTGGGTCTAATTTCCTTTGTTTTGATCCGGAAACCATGGGGATCAGGTGAGAATGAGTGTAACGTATATCTAACTCCTTTCGAGTGAAAAGATGGTATTTTTCCCATGTCTTTCTTGGAAAAACCAAGGCGATTTAATTTAATTAGCAAGTCTCCCTTGGGAGCAGGAGAAGTCACATCACTGAATCAAGAATGCCTCAACTAGATCAATTCACTTATTTCACACAATTCTTCTGGTCATGCCTTTTCCTCTTTACTTTCTATATTGCCATATGCAATGATGGAGATGGAGTACTTGGGATCAGCAGAATTCTAAAACTACGGAACCAACTGGTTTCACACCGGGAGAACAAGATCCAGAGCAACGACCCCAACAGCTTGGAAGATATATTGATAAAGGGTTTTAGCACCGGTGTATCCTATATGTACTCCAGTTTATTCGAAGTCTCCCAATGGTGTAAGGCCGTCGACTTATTGGGAAAAAGAAGTAAAATCACTTTCATCTCTTGTTTCGGAGAAATAAGTGGCTCACGAGGAATGGAAAGAAACATATTATATATTCTAAAAAATACCTCAGAGAGCACCAATCATCCTGGGTGGGAGATCACTTGTAGGAATGACATAATGCTAATCCATGTTCCACACGGCCAAGGAAGAATCGGTTTTTAAACTTGGTCGCTCGGAATAGCATTGAGTCAAAGAAAAAAACCCAGACGTTTTCTCAATCGCTTGGGGAATGAGTTGAACTATGTTCTCTGTTCTCTGTCAACTCATTTGAAACGAATCCTCGCCGAGCCAGACGGTTTTCCACGTGTCAAGAATAAATGAATGCAGCCTCAACCAGTTGAATTGCTTCAAATCCAATTTCCCACGTAGTTCGTCGGTCAAACCAACGATTCTCTTCTCAAATCTCAAAGTAATAAAGGGATCTTTTTCTATCAATCCAATGAAAGAACCATCCCTTCCTATTTCAGATAGAGACCCTTCTTTACTACTTTAGGGGGTGGGGGTGGTTTACATACAACCGAGGCAAAGTGGTTTATGATTGAATCTCAGAGGCATTCTTATCATTTGGTAGATCCAAGTCCATGGCCTATTTCGGGTTCACTCGGAGCTTTGGCAACAACCGTAGGAGGTGTGATGTACATGCACTCATTTCAAGGGGGTGCAACACTTCTAAGTTTGGGCCTCCTATTTATCCTATATACCATGTTCGTATGGTGGCGCGATGTTCTACGCGAATCCACGTTCGAAGGACATCATACCAAAGTCGTACAATTAGGACCTCGATATGGTTTTATTCTGTTTATCGTATCGGAGGTTATGTTCTTTTTTGCTCTTTTTCGGGCTTCTTCTCATTCTTCTTTGGCACCTACGGTAGAGATCGGAGGTATTTGGCCACCAAAGGGGATTGCGGTTTTAGACCCCTGGGAGATCCCTTTTCTTAATACCCTTATTCCCCCTTCATCCGGAGCTGCCGTAACTTGGGCTCATCATGCTATACTCGCGGGGAAGGAAAAACGAGCAGTTTACGCTTTAGTAGCTACCGTTTCACTGGCTCTAGTATTCACCGGCTTTCAAGGAATGGAATATTATCAAGCACCCTTCACTCTTTCGGATAGTATTTATGGTTCTACCTTTTTCTTAGCAACTGGCTTTCATGGTTTTCATGTGATTATAGGTACTATTTTCTCGATCATATGTGGTATTCGCCAATATCTTGGTCATCTGACCAAGGAGCATCACGTTGGCTTTGAAGCAGCTGCATGGTACTGGCATTTTGTAGACGTGGTTCGGTTATTCCCATTTGTCTCTATCTATTGGTGGGGAGGTATATGAAGGTACGAATCTCTAGCTTGCAAGGATTCGTTGAACTCACAACTCACATAGTGTAACATAGTTACACTCATTCAGAGGTACGACCAAAGGGAGTCCTGAATAGTGAAACGAATTCTCTAGTGACTTCGTACCTCGAAAGAGGTACGAAGTTGCTCTGAATGATGTGAAATCACTCGACCTAAGAGAGGTACGAAGTAGTTGAAACTCATCCCTATTCCCTTGTGACTCGACTGAAAGCTCGAAGAAACCGGGCTTAATTTCCTACCAATTCTCTCTCTATTCTGGCAAGGGATCGAAATTGGATCTTGGTTTATTTGAGATTGTTCCTTTGAATCGTAATCAAAGAGGTTTTCTTGTCTCTCGTTTCTTTTCTGAATAAATCGAAGAACCTAATGGATCCAACTCCTACATTTGAGAGAAGGCAAATCGCTTCTACCGAAGGAGTTGAACACGTATTACTTGAAATGAGTGTAACGATTCGTTTGACAGAGAACAGAGAACATAGTTCAACACTATGTGAAACAACGAACAACGAATAGTGAAACTCATTTCGTACCTTAGACGGTTTAGGCTTTCGGACAAATGACATATCATAAGATGGAGAAGGAAATAGTCCAGTTAGCTCAATAGATTCCCGCTTCTTCGCCCCCCTCATCCTAAGCTAAGACAAGGGGCCTCGCCCTCTTTACTTGATAGATCAAGAAGACTACAACCTATTATCAAAAACTTGACTTCCTAACTAAAGAACCTGAGCCAAAACAACTTGGACCTGCCGAAGAGACTAGAAGACGATATCATAGTTCTGAATGGCGCGCACTACCTGATGATAGGGTTCAGCTCGAACTTAGATACGTAGTTGAACGAACTTCATATCGACTATACGTTCAACTCATTGGCTAGCTTGTGTACTAGCCTCTTCTATACCAGCTGATTCAATAGCAACTGTCAGCCCTTTCTCTTTTATTACTTTTATTACTTATTTCCTTATTTCGAAAAAGAGTCTAGTCAGCTCGTCTCTGTCTTGAGGCCTTTTGTTAACCACATGTAGAATATCTTGTGTAGTCGGGTAGGCTAACTATAATCTATCTTTCCTTTAGTATTTATATATGTTAAGATGTTAAGCTCCCCTTCCCCTCTTCGAGCGACTCCCGTTGGTCGTACCTCTTCGAGCGACTCCCGTTGGTCGTACCTCTTCGAGCGACTCCCGTTGGTCGTACCTCTTCGAGCGACTCCCGTTGGTCGTACCTCTTCGAGCGACTAAATGAGTTGAACTATGTTCAACGAATCTCTGTTCTCTGTTCTCTGTACCTTTCAAGTCAAAGTAAAGCTGCTTCTTAGAGTTGGCTTTTGCAATTGCAATCTGTCTCTGGCTCCTCTCAAATAAGACCTTATTTTGGTCGAAGAAGCAAGCCAGTTACACGGCCGCCGATTCCCTTTTTGAAAGTCACGATCCGAAAGGTTTCAATCGGATCTGGGAAGCGCTGGTTCGAATCCAGCTCGTGACAAGACCAAAGGTCATTTACCCAGCTCTACGACCCAGAGGTTAGCGACTGCAACTAGCGTTGGTACGAGGGGAAGTGGCTTAGTTGAGACTCAGGTACGAAATGAGAGTGTAACGATTCGTTTCACTATGTTACACTTCACATAGGTAACATAGTTACACTCATTTGAAACGAATATGAGTTGAACAACGGATTCTTATTCTTGGGCAATTCTATATTATATAGTCTAATTGAGAAGCGCATGCGTCTTTTTCTGCGCCGGTTTTGCTTATCTTTTGCAGATACGTCTTCCTTTCCCCCAACTGGAGCTATTGCTTGTCGGCTTCGGGCTGCAGCGGGCTCTTAGCCAACGGTTACCGTCAAACCCTTCCACGGATCACTCACCTACTTACCCTGAGACCAATGATCCAGCTCCACTGATGATCATCGCGAAATCACACTAAGAAAGGTAGATGGGAAACGGCTTATTCCTAATTCCTAAGGTAAAACCTTTCCACTATACTAAAAGAAGACGGTGACTCTACGAGGTACGAAGTCACTCGACCGTAAGGGAGAGGGGTGCCGAGATCCTGGGCTCCATCATGATCGAAAAGAGATATTGGTTCGAGTCCAATTCATGATTCCACTCCAGTTTTTGATTTCCATTGAAATGAAATGAACCATTCATTATAGGCTAGAATACGCCGTTAGGCAATACATATAATCTATATAATACTATAATACTTTTAGAATATAGGCGAGAAAGAATGTGAATCGCCTAATCTATGGCTTTGTGAGTCATACTTCTGACGATTTAGGCAAGGTACGTCTCTGAGGTCCACGTGCTTACCCAACCCAGGAGCGACCTGTGCGTAACAAACGGCTTTCTTCATGAATTCAGTCTAGGGTTCCTCAAGCTCAGACGGTGCCATAGCCGGCGGGCACTGGCAGCTGCAAGTGGATTGGTTTCCAATACTCAATACTATAGCCTGTCGTTGGGACACGCCGATGACGCGACGCGGCTCCATATTGAACTGGCTAAGATTCAACTAAAGGAAGTCGCTTAAGCCAGCTCCTGACGCGAGGTGCTATGGTTTCGGTTGTGATGGTTCTTCTTTTATGGAGCTTAGCTGTGAAAAGAATTGCCCAAGGTTGGGGGAATACCGGATTCTTAGTCTCGGTCTTCTGAAATGGGAGCTGCTATTGAATCAGCAGAAGAAAGCATCAAAGCGGAGGAATAGCTATCTTTCACAAGCAATTGAGAGTCGATCGGGCATTCCTATGGTTGATAAGGGGGATTCCGGAGCTGTGGCCCTAAACGACGAAGTGCCATCTTTATCCGAATGAAGAAACCATGGCTTCTAGTTTAGACTAGCGCTACAGACGCTATTCATAATTAATATAGTTATTTAAGAAGCCGTTGTGCGTGAGTATAAGTCTAAAGACCAAGTCTTCCTTGCTCCAGCTAATTTAGACTCTTAAATCTATTCTTTCCTAAGCTTGTTCGCGAATACGTACGAGAAAATTCAACTTCTTTCCCAGACCAATTTCTTCATCTGCACCGGAAGTCACGGAGCTCTCTTTTCTACATATACATAGGGTTGTTCCAAATCTCTATCATCAAATGGCTCAGACGATTCCCCTCGGGAAAGCGGTTCGGTTGGGGTTTTCATCTCTTCCTTATCAAGGAAGTAGAAAGTAAGTCAAGTCCAATCTCCTTGGATTGGCCTTAGTGGGAAGAGAAGGATCAAACTCTATGATGCAGCTTTCTTGGAACAGGCTGGGTGGGCACTTAGATGATAGAGTATGCCTGCAAAGCACATTTCTTGTCTAATATCTACAGCTCGTTGATCTCTTTCGCCTGTTTTGGCTAACCCCATTCCAGTCTATCTTCTGACGATTTAGGCAAGGTCTGTTCGATTGAGCTTCTATTAGTAATCTTAGACAGCTGAACTGGATAGATCTCAAGGGTTCCGGGCATGACTCGGAAGATGAAGAGGGGGCAGACTTTGAGTGTCAAGGAGGAAGTAGCATAATTCCTCTTCGAGGTACGAAGTCACTAGAGAATTCGTTTCAAACGTTGAACATAGTTCAACACTATGTGAAACGAATCTCTGTCAACGAATGAGTGTAACTATGTTCAATTCGAGTTCAACGAACGTACTCAACGGTTACCGGCTCTACGACTTTCATAGTTCTTCTCTCACCCGATGCCATCCTTATCAATTCTAACATTCATAGAATCTATTGGAAATGAATTGAAACTAAGCTGTGAAACCCCACCTTCCGTAGGTAATTCGGGGAGTAGCCTGCTAAAGTATAAAGTATACACCTATAATCCTATTTAGGGCAGTAATCCCGGGGAGCCCGAGGCGGCTCCCAAATAAAATAAGATGTGAAGTTAGCATAATCCGGCTCAAATTCATAGCTGTCAAGGTCGGCAAAGATCAAATCGGTTACAGTCCGGCTTTACTATTCCATTTTTCTTTAGCAATGAGTTAAAAGACTCGACGCGCCTTTTTGTGGGACGGCATGGGTCCCCCGTACGTGAGGATGACACGATGAAGGTACCAATACCCGTTTCCTCCGAACTTGATGCTTTAGTATTCCCATTCACTAACATAATCTACAAAACAAAGGGAATTGAAATACATAATATCTGTAGGAGATCAACAACAAAGAAACAAATCGACCCCAACTTCTTACGAATCCTCAAACTAGAAATCAATGAAATCAATAGAGAGACCCGTGCAACAAGCTATTTCCCCGGGAAAGATCTATTTATACTTTTATACTAATTAGACTTAATTATACTAAAGATTATACTAAAGTAATTCAATCCGATTCAAAGCAACTGCTTGGCCGGCTTGGGACGGGCTTGCTTGAGCGGATATGATCACAGTAGCAGCTACTTCTTCCAGAAAGTAAGCCGACCCTTTGGCTCGCTTCCGACTGTCTTGCCCAGAATGAGACAGTATTAAAAATAATAGGGATTCGTTACGACTAAATGAGTTTCACATAGTGAAACGAATTCTCTAGGGACTCCCTTTGGTCGTACCTCTCCCTTTGGTCGAATGAGTTTCACATAGTGAAACGAATCTCTCTAGCAACTTCGTACCTCCCACCTTTCGGCGAGATATTTGCCGTGAGCAATGCGACCTTTCTATTCCCAGTTTCATTCTTTCTCTATCAATTTCGCGAACATACTGGTGAATAAACATACCAGTTGGTATGTTGCGATCCAGCTTCTCCAAGGTCTTCTTCGCTTAAAGAGGGAGCCCTTCCATTCTTTTTCAGCTTTCTCACACTCTGATAGATCTGATAGAAAAGTAGAGCTATGTAAGATTGCTTCTTTACGGTCTTCGCAGACCTCTAGGTAGTTCTAAACTCATTTTGGTCAGATGGGCAACATTATCATGCTGCCCCGTGTCTCCGGCCGCGAATATAGCGGCATCAGAGTTGGGTGGAATTGAGTTTCCCCCTGACCCCGACGGGTAGAATTCGTCATAAGTTACTAAACGAACGTAATACTTGGAGTGAATGAGTTGAACGTAGTTAGACGAATCCTCGCAAGGATCCTTGCAAGGATTCGTCTAGGCCAACGAAGCAGATCTGATGGTTCTAGGAAAATCATTTAATCCAGGCTAAGAATTCCTGACTCTCCCTTTGGTCGTACCTCTTTCAAATGAGTTGACAGAGAACAGAGAACAGAGATTCGTTGAACTAAATGAGTTGAACATAGTTCAACGAAATGAGTTTCACTATGTGAAACGAATCTCTGTTCTCTAGTGACTTCGTACCTTCGGAAGGACCTTAGGTGTCAAATGTGATCCGAAGCTATTGCATCGTTTGCCCTTTTTATTGATTTTGACGATTGGATCTCTCTATGAATGGAAAAGGGGTGCTTGTGTTGTGGTTTTCGTAGTTGCAAGAATTTTTTTTTTCGAGAAAAGGTCCCCTCCTTCAATATCATGATTGGGTCGACCAGACCAGATCATGAGCGAATAGAAAATAAAAAATGTACATAGCTGTTCCAGCTGAAATACTTGGAATAATTCTACCACTTCTACTAGGAGTAGCCTTTTTAGTGCTAGCTGAACGTAAAGTAATGGCTTTTGTGCAACGTCGAAAGGGTCCTGATGTAGTGGGATCATTTGGATTGTTACAACCTATAGCAGATGGTTTGAAATTGATTCTAAAAGAACCTATTTCACCAAGTAGTGCTAATTTCTCCCTTTTTAGAATGGCTCCAGTGGCTACATTTATGTTAAGTCTGGTCGCTCGGGCCGTTGTACCTTTTGATTATGGTATGGTATTGTCAGATCCGAACATAGGGCTACTTTATTTGTTTGCCATATCTTCGCTAGGTGTTTATGGAATTATTATAGCAGGTTGGTCTAGTAATTAGGGGGCGGCCGTTCGGTCGCCTATGATACTAGGACCAATAGGTCAAAAATGGGTTTGTGCCGCAGGTGTTGAACGATCTACTCTACACAGGTGTGGGCTTACAGGGATCAACCCTTTCTTTCATTTATCAATAGGGCCCTGGCCGGTCACTTTTCTCGATATCATAAAAAAAAGATATCACCTTTGAACTGAGAGTTGAACAACGTACGAAGTCTCTCGACCGTAACCGCTCGTTGAACATAGTTCAACTCATTTAGTAGCTAGAGATTCGTTTCAAACGTTGAACTATGTTCAACTCATTCGAAGAGGTACGACCAACGTACGTAGTCGCTCGAAGAGGGGAGTCCCTCTCCCGTAGGTCGAATGAGTTTCACATAGTGAAACGAATTCTCTAGGGACTCCCTTTGGTCGTACCTCTCCCGTAGGTCGAATGAGTTTCACATAGTGAAACGAATTCTCTAGTGACTTCGTACCTCGACCTATGGGAGAGGGCGCTACTTAGTTTCGCAAGCCTTTGTCATTGTCAGTCAACTAAGTAGGGCCTGAGGCCCCCTGCGAATCCGTAAATCTGAGGAGCATGCCGCAACAAAAGGATGGTCCCCTATTCATTTCATTTTTTCCGGAAGGGAAAAAGAAAAGTACCCCCCATCATAGTGAACCTCTCCTTGTGATCGGGATGAGGTAGATGCCTCCCAGCCGGGGGACGGATCGAATCGGAGTTTCCTTAGGTAGCCACCGACCTACAGTTATCCTTAAACTTCCGTGCTTGGTGGAGAAGAAGCGAACAAAGGTACGCTCGCTTGCTGTCTTGTTCTCTGTCGCGAACTGGGATCGCTCGCCAGCTAGGTCAGATTGGAGCAATCTTTTTTGAGAAAAAATTCCCCTTATTCGGGGACAAGGGGCGGAATGACCTCTCGATCTACTTACTGCAGCCAGCGGTGAAACGTCGTCTAGGCGTTCCCTGTTCCCCTACGCCTAGGACGTTGTCTGGGCCAAGAGCCATAGTTAGTTGCTGTTTCCATTTGGTTATTTCTTCCTCGTTGTTGATACCGGCAAGACCCAGCCAGATGATGTCTGCTGGTTGGTAGTGAGAGGACTCTTAGTACCTGCATACCCAAAAGAGGGCGCTGGTTAAAAAAAATCCTTTTTTTTCTTGCTTTCCCTTAGCAGCGGGAAAGGAGTCTATCTATCTGCCTAGCTTTGGTAGATTTCCCCCAACGCAATCCACAGAAATTCAACGAATCCCTTGGTGGATAAGTCCGACGACTCAGCAGCAGTGCGGAATTGAGTTTCTTGTCTGGTAGATCTGATAGGGGGCAATACATACCAAAAGGTTCGAAGAAGGAACGCGCATAAGAGTATATAAACGAGTGGTGTAACTCAAACTTAGATATCGACTATACGTATCTCAGTGAGTGAATGAGTTGAACGTAGTTAGAAAACTCATTTAGTAGCAACACTCTTTTGGCGCTGCTGGATGCTTCTGATCAATAGGAAGAGGAGGAAAAAAAAGCTTATGATGAGCATCTATTTTAGTCGAGCATTTCCAAGATCTAATTCAAGTTTTTTCTTATGTAGTGGAAACGCCTTCAAATCTGAAGTTTTACGCTTAAGGGAAGACAGGTTATTGGTGGATGCAGGACTTGGGACCCCCAGAATTTGTATGCAAGATGAGCCTACAGGAGTCCCAATCAACCGAGCCACCAGGTTTGAGAATAAGGTGGGATCCCTGGATCTAGTAGCCGGTGAATCACTGATCAAAGAGCATATTTTGGAGAGATTATTCATCGATATAGTGGCCGGTGAATCACTTATCAAAGAGCGAGCAGCCGCCAGGTTGAATTATTTGGTGGGATCTACAGATGTAGTGGCTGGTGAACCGCTTCTTCTTCTTCCACGAAGATTCAGACAAAACCGAGCTTGGCTTGAACTGAACAAGATTTGGCGAACGAATACAAAGGTAAAAGGCTTTATTATTGAGAAAGTAAAAGGAGGTTATTCAGTAGCCATCGCAGGTTTCATTACTTTTCTTCCATTCCGTCGTCGTAAAAGAATATCGAATGATCGATTCGCCATTGAGAGCATGAACCCAGACGAATATTGTGGTGTTGCGTTCAGAACCAGTCTTTAAAATACTTGATATAGGTTTCTATAGGATGAATTAGAAAGAACGAAGAAGTCATGATGAAAAAACTGGTGGATCGACTACCAAAGGACTCGGTTTTTCGTGGAATGAGTTTCACGGGGATATTTATCCATCATACATCATATAATAAGATTGAATATCGTGTCAGAGACAACATAGTGAAACTCATTTCGTTTCATTTATGATTCCAGCCGAGAAGACAAGTAAAAGGAAGGATCAAGAATGTTATATATTTCAGGAGCTAGATC